ATGCTGGAGGATGGTAAGAGCAGCACAGAAGTTTTGTGTGCTGCATGATACACAGCATATTTTATTGCCTATGCTTATAGAAATGTCCTTCTTGGAAAAATTCTGTATATGAGTGTGTTGTTTGTTTATATATATCATGGTGGGGCACAGGTTCTATTATTGAGTAATATGTGGGAGTGGAAAACAGGAAAGATTGAGAAATACTATTATAAGTAACAGGTGACCTAAGGAACATGTGACCTTTTGCATCCAGGCAAAAGAATCGAGAGGAAGAAGTTTCTTGGCAATATCATTTTACTCCAAGATTGATAGTGCAAGATCTGCTTACAGATCTAATATGGCGGTCATGTGCAAAGTACAAGTGGGTTGCTCTAACCCCCCTTTGAGAGAGATGTTAGAGAGAATGTAATTTTACATAATATTGCATACCTATAAATCATAGGTAGGTAGGTAGGTAGGTAGGTAGGTAGGTAGGTAGGTAGATAACAGTGCTCCTGATGAAAAAGGAGCTTAATTATAATAGATGAATTTTCAGTGTTTTATTTTAAATTGAACTTTAATTAGAGGGGGAAATATTAACAATTAGAATATAATTTAAGTCATCTGATTTCCTATATTAAAGAAAACTTTGGCTATAGATGAAAAGATTCTCCCACACCCCAGAAAAGCAAATCCAATTTCATGGCTAGACTACTGCTAACCTAAGTGTTCATTCTTTTTCCAGTTTGCTATGGATACATTGAGAAATGTTGAGAGCTTATAGAAGAAGAAACAACATTAGTCTGAAAAGACTTCCAATTTTTATGATTGCAATTTTTGTGACTGTTGAAATAAGTGTTAGTACAAGAACTTTATTTTGATAGTGTAGTATTTTAAACATATGCGCACACAAACGTCATCTGAAATTGAGAAGAGAATACTGAAAAAGAACCTTCAAAATTAGAAACATAGTCTAAGTAGAATTATTAGTATCTTAATATGGCAAATACAACTGATCTCTAGTTTCTTATAATATGCTATATAATTCATCCCACTACTGAGGTATCAGAATTTAGTTTCTTTGGGAAAAAAAGGTAAGAGACTGACTGTGTTTCTGTGCTATAACTTTATTTGCACATTTATACAGATTAAATATGAGTTAGTACTCTGTCAAATTCTGCTGTTCATCAAATTTCTAGGAAAACCAGTACTGCCACTGGACTTTCTGCTATCTTTTCATATGCAGTTTCAGCACAGGCCTCTTTCATTTTTTTTCCCAAGACAACAAATGTCACCTCTCTCAATCCTGGTTCCATACTAGTGTCCATACTAGTAGAATGTTATTAGGTATCAACTACTCTTTGTCAAACCTTAAGAGCTGTCACCTTTGGGTACATAGCTGATTGCTCAGCTCACAGAAATCCTAAACTGAAAAATTAGTTTGCAAAAATTATTTACTGTACAGTCTGGGACAAGGATACCTCTCTCCATATATCTCATCATTTTCTCAGTGGCAATGAGACCCCAACCATCCCCCAGTTTAGTGTCTGTCAGTTTTGATATTCATTTTATGCATAATTAGAGTTTTATTTAATATGTATTGTGTCAATGAATGTATTACTCATTATACAATTTTCCTCACTCTTACTTTGGTAATGATTCACTGAAATTGTTTCATCCTATATTTTAGCTGAAAGTAAACCCATTGAACTTTTTTATGTAATAGTAAGTGCATGTAGGATTATCTAGTTTAAAACTGTGATCTGTTATATGATGTTGCTAGACTACATGATGTTTCTCTACATTTTTCTCTGAGAAATTCAGAACTAAATCCAGGGTAGAGATAGGCAACCTGGTGCTATCTGGAAGTGTTGGATTACAACTCACAGCATCTCTTGGCTACTGAGCTTCTGAGTAGGGTGGATGGGGAGCCAAAATCCAAAATGTTTCTATCTTGTGTAAGCTTTCTTCAAGTTTTATCACAATTATCACCTTTTTCCTCAGCTTTTAAAAATAATTATTCAATAATTTCACAGTGCTACTAAATATAAAAATAATATAAGTTTGGGACAAAATATACTCAGCGTTGGCCAGCTGAATACATAATTTGTCTTTTACATGTTGTACAATATTGTTAATATATGACCTTGTAATTTTTTTCCTCCAGCAACATTGGAAAATATCATAATTTTATAATTTCAGATTCAGTTTCCAAATGCTTTTGATGTGCACCTTTAAATTTTTTTCCTCAGAAATCTTTTTTTCCCTTTATGTTCATAGGACATTCACTATTTGTTTTATTTTGAATTTGGTTTCACTGTTTTAGTTGCATAAAGAAGAAAGTAAAAAAAAGCATATTCATCTAATTTTTACAAGCTTTTCTTCAAAGCTTTTACCTAAAATTTATAAAGGTCCTGTTTTTGTGGTGTGTGCGTGTGTGTCAAGCTTTTAACTACTAGACAATTTAGTATTTATTTCTTGTGTTTGGTATTTTTAAATGTGTATACTTTGCTTTTGTTTTAAATTTTATCAGCCACCTTGAGTGCTCACCAAAGTACAAAGACAGGGCAATAAACAAACAGATTAGTGTTCTTTCTTGTTGCTGTTTTAAATTTACAACAATGCATTTCTATAACAAATATTTAATATTTGCAAATGAAATACAATTAATTTGGACTCTTCAAATTAAAAAAAAAAAGTATTATAAAAGCTACAGTTGAATTCAGTTCTAAATCATTTGTTAGTGATTCTTTGAATTCAGAAGTTGTTGAATAATGCTATCCTGTGTGGCATTAGCTTAACTGCTACACTGAACAAGAATCAAAGCAATAATTTTCTGTTAAAGTAAATATAGTGGGAATTAATGACAGACAGGATCTAAAACTGAAGTGTTTCCGGGAAGTTATATTTTGACATGCACTGCAATTTTATAAGCATTTAGGCAATGAATTAGAGATGTGTGCACAGTTCAGCGGCTTTTCCAAAGACAGTGTTTGTGCATAACTTGAAAAATAGCTGTCCCAGTCTCCACAGAGCATAAAGGAGGACCAGATGTCCTCTGTGAAAGGATGGAATCCTCTCAGTCCGCAAGGAAGAAATATAGTAGCAATTAGCGATTGCCTATTGAGGGGCAGCAGACTGCCCTGCCTACTGTAGTGAAAGGGGTACACTTTCTTTTAGTGCTTTATAATAACAGTAAAAAAGGACAACTATGTGCTTTTCTGTATGCAACTTCATATAATATAAGCTAATTTTACACAACTATCTATGTATTGTGTTGTTGTGCATTTCCTGAATATGTGCTTCTCTGTATGGAAGTTTTAAGAATGAGAGACACTAATGGACTGTTTGCATTTCTGCTGCCTGTGCTACAACACAGTCATATTGTCGTACCACTCCATTTTATTCCAAAGAAAATCTTAGGTAGATTTCTTTAATATTTCTATTTGTAATACAATCAGAGCTGTGACTGGCAATATCATCTGTTATCACACCGATCATCTGGAAAAGATTATAGAGCTCGATGAAACAGCTGCTCTCTCCTGGGCCATGACTCTGAGAGTCCCGTTTGATAGTCCTTCTTTTCTTCCCTTGTTTACAGCCAATGGCCACCTACCACACACCCAGCCCCACTAGGTAGACCAGACCAGGAAATCAACTCCACAGAAAAGCTAAAACTACTTTTATTGATATTAGCTACAATAACAGTATCTTGTAAGTCTGATTATGTTGTACCTCCTCCTCTTTCTTATGGTTCAGTGAATTAGGGAGTCATCTGACTGAGCCACTTCTGAATGTTATCTCATAGGTCTGTACTTTAGAAATGCTTCAGTCTCTTTTGCCTAGTCAGTAGAGCCTACCTAACACCATCAAGTTCATCTTCTTTAACCTCTACAAGATCTCAGCAGTAAATCTCAACCCCCCAATTTTATATGGATTAACTGAACTGCTGGCTTGAACTCAGCAATACCTTTATCAGACATGTGAAAATACAGTATATGGCTAGATAATTTCTTTTATTGCAAACTAAAGTAAAACCACATTAAACAGTTGGTTGCCCTCTGTTATCATAAGGGTGTAGCTCCTTCTTATATCCACAGCAGTTGCTACTGCTTCTTGTCTTTCCCACATTTCAAAAAACTCTTTGTCCTGTGCTTCATTGAGCAGGTGTTAATATACAGTAACTGCCTGTCACCTTATCTCTCACAGATTATGAATTGTTTCCAAGCATACACAAGAATGTATACCTGAAGCTGTATAATTTCTAATATAAATATTCCAAAAGTAATGTTTTAATGTAAAGACAGGTCACACAGAAATGTTATATGTATTTGAAAAAATTAGGCAGAAATCTTTTATTCAGATTCAGTTACTTAAGTAAGTGGGCCTAATTCTGAAAAGAAATATATAAAATTATGCTATTGAGTAAGGTAATATAAAGACAGGAAGGCCAGGCGTGATATGGTTCATGGGGTCACGAAGAGTCGGATACGACTTAACAATTGAACAACAACAAAAGGTAATATAAATATAACGGAGTTCATTATTCTAGCAAATGTAGATTTGTTTCTTTTTTACTAAATAGTTTGCCTCACTTAGACTGGTAGCACAATTTAGTATGACATTTTCAATCAGGAGAAAGTTTATATTTAAATATAAGTGCATTACTGCAATGTTGTATGTACAGTTTTCTACCTGAGTATGTTGTCCCCTTGTGTTTTTTCAACTACCATTAAAATAGTTCAACTTCTATAAGTAAGTAGCTTGTATTTTTGAACTTCAGAAATATGCTGGAAGCTGTTGTTTCATTTATTGGGGACTTGTTTCTAAACTGAATGGCTTATGACTGATATGAATTCTGCTCTGCCCTTGAAAACAATTAATTATTTATGCACAATTCAAATATATGTAATTGCATGCCCAGAGACATATTTGTAAGAAACTGAAAATACCATTGTTTCAGGGAATGTAAATTATTTTCAGAATTTCAGAAATTGAAAAGGGATAAGTGGAAGGAGAAAATGTTGGGCTGGTGCCAAGCGATAGCTCGTAATCCTCACAGACTCCCAAACAGCACAAGAACCCCCGAGGTCACAGGTGATGCTTCACATATTTCTGCCTTGGTGAGTGGAAGTTCTATTTCATGATGATGACTTGTACAATCATCAATCCTTGAAAATTCCTAGTATCATCCCATCTGCCCAAAAGCAATAGTCTTGCCGCTTGTATAATATCTGAAGCTACTTTTACTTTAGATGCTTCTTTTTATTTTGTTCTGAATGCACTGCAGCTGTTACATGTTCAGGTGTCCTTAATTGCTATTTTTTGTTATTTTTGGTTTGCTTGTCTTGCATGTAACGGCTGTTAAAGTAATTGAGGGGGTGTTGATTTGATGTTTCTTAAGTTTATAAACCAAAATTTCCCCTTTTAGCCCTTTAAGGATATTAACAACATATATAGCTTTCTGGATGTCTTTACTGGTCTTTTGTGCATGATATAAGTAGGAGGGTCTTATTTAAAGAGATTCTTTTGCTGGTTGTAAATTTACCTGTGATATGGACAAGAAAATTGCATTTTATAAATTATTTTTTCACATTTCCTGCATGGTGAACTTTAGCAGGTTGAGAACCTAATAATACATGTAAGTTAAATTACATTTTATTTTTAGGTAAAATTTGTCAGAATGAGGTACATTTTTTCAGATTAATACATATTTATTCAAAGAATATTGTTTAGTTAAGAAACTTAATGCTACACTATACTATCCAGAGAATATATGTCAAAATAAAAATTGTAATCATTATCTATTTAGCTTGAAGACTTTTTTTTTTTTTTGGTCATTTTGCAATCTAATTAATCTATTTACTTGATGGATGGTTCCAATGTCATCAATCAAGTAAATATATTAATTTATTTATATGTATTAAGCTACTTATATGTAACAGAGAAAGGGAGTGGTCCTTCAGTTTCCATTTTAATACTATTTCCATTCAAGCTTTATTAGAATATTCAGTACCAGGAATAGATCCAAATATCCTTGTATAATTATCATAAATTGCCACAATGATTATATTTGTAGACCATCCTTAAATAATATAATTTATAATATAAAATAATATAAACCATACTATCATGGCTTCAAATTCTGAATTGCACCCAAGATTTCTCACCTAATTTTCACTGATGTTGTCTCCTAATTTTTCAAGATGTTTTGCCAACAGCATGTTAACCTGAAAATCAATCCAATCCAAAGAAAAGTTGATATTCTCATTTTTATTTATTATGATTTTCTCACTTACCTAGTTGCAACAACTTATTTCACTGGACTTTTAGTTAAATGATCTATTTAATCACCAACATATTTTTTCCTCCAAAAATATTTAAGCTAAGTTAATAAAAGGATGGGGAGTCCATACTGGGGGGAGGCTGAGGCATTGGATTGGATCACACCCATGCGACCTCTCCCCTCTCAGGGATCCTGTCATTTCCTGTGCTTTACAGATGAATTGTGAGAGATGAAATGATAGAAGAGACGTCTAGAGTGTCACTGGCACTCAACCAAGGATGAGCTTGACTGAACATGGGTTAGAGTCACTATTAAGGCCTACCTTATGGCAGTATGGGTGGTGAAGCGGCAGTAGTTTTCTGCCCTTATTGCATCCACGGATTGCTGCCCCACAGCCCTATTCGGGTGACATGAGCCCTCTTGGGTAAAGGAGGCCTGAGGAACCTTTTGCAGGGTGTGTGGAGGAATTTGCTCAGCATCAGTTGGACAAAATCACTCAGATTCACTTGCAGTTGGATGCTGGTTTTGTTGCAGGTCCAGAGGAGATGCCTGGAGTAGAATCTTGCCTGGTTATCTGGAAATAGTTTGAACCAGATGGTCCTAAGGAAGCAGACAGGGTTTTTAGGACTGTGAGATCAGCCACCTGCTCTTTAGATCCATGTCATTCCTGGCTTGTGAAAGTGGCCCGGAGGGTGTCATGTGAGTGGGTCCTAGCAGTGGTTAATCCTTCTTTGAGTGAGGAGGTTGTTCCTTTACTTCTTAAAGAGGACTTGATTCACGCCCTTCTCAAGAAGCCATTGGTATACCCCACTACACTGGGCAATTTTTGTCCAGTATCTAACCTCACCTTGTTGGGGAAGGTGGTTGAGAAGGTAGTCGTGCAGCAAGAGGACCTTGGATTTGTTGTGTAGAAAAGCTATTTCTAATGTTTATTTTAAGATATATAATAGGCTGATTATTTATTTAGTAATATTTCACAATTACAGAATATGCCTAAGGTATATATCAAGTATACTGGCTATTTACTTAGCATTTTTGTCTAGATCAAAAGTATTAATTCTTACCAAAATTCTTATGTTAAAATGATGGAGAATTTCTGCTTCAATGAAAACAAATGATACATGAGTTTCATACTTCACTTTCTTTACCTTTGGAAATGTTTAACGTTTTCAGTGTTTTACATGAGGCTGACATATCAAGTCATGTATTACTAAAGAGCTGTCAAAAAGAAACATTTGGAACACAGAATGGGAAATAAAGGAACAGTCCTTCAGTTATGAAATATGGTTCTGAAATCAAAACAGAAGTGAATAATTGTTTAAAATCAGGTTTTTCAATTAGACAAGTGATAATATGGAGAATGGAATGAATGCAGAGGCCAGCTCTGTAGATATATTCTAAATTCTTGTGAGATTTTTTTACCTCCTTAACCAGAAAATTTAGTCAGCAGACACTTTGAAAGATGGCTGGTCAGTCTACTTTTTTCAGATGTCAAAAAGTGATTTTTCATCCTACCTTCCACTAATTTATGCCACATAGTGAAGCTCAGTTAATGCTTGGGGACAGATGACTGTACTAACATCTTTGGCTTCTAGTATCCTGGAAGCTGTAGAAAAATAAGGAAAATATATGAAGAGCAAAAGTTATATCTATAGTTATTTTTCCACTCTTTTACATGCTCATCTCCCATCTTTTTCCCCCCTTAGGGAATATGTTCCTCCTATATATCACTTTCCATTTTGTTTTCATTCTTCAGGCTTCTTGAAATACTGTTATGAAAAGTAGGAGCACAAAGGAAAATAAATAAGTATATATGCTGATCCCCACTGAAGCTGTGTAGTAACTAAAATGATGAAAGATGTTTGAAGCAAAAAAGGAGGCATGGAGAAAAAAGATGTGTTCTCTTCCTTTCCTCTTCTTGATCACTCTTTCCATCTTGTCTTGAAATCATTTCAAACAGCATAGTGTAGACAAAGATTCTCATAAAGATCAGTGTTACTTATTTTCTAGAGTGGTATAAATTTTATCTAGTCTCCACTCTTCTCTTTTTGGGGAACGTTGTTGAGAAGGTGGTTGGGTTACAGCTCCAAAGGCCCCTGGTGGATATGGATTATCTAGACCTTTCAGGTTTCAGACTGGGGCATAGTATTGAGTTGGCATTGGTTGTACCTCTTAATCTCTGGTAGAGCCTGGTTCTGCTTGATCTCTCAGAAACTTTCAATACCACTGACCAGGGAATCCTTCTGGTCAATTGGGAGGCATAGTGTTCTGGTGGTTTCCCTCCTTCTCTGTGGTCAGGTCTATCTGTGTTGGCAGAGGGAGAAAGATGGAGCCAGCAAACCAAAAATAAGTAGCAACAGTACATCAAGCAAATGGAGAAGTAAAGAAGCCACTGAACTCAAAGAGCTCGGGAGACAGCAGTAGAATATTATTTCAGTGGTACCTGAAAGAACAGCGCCAAGAATTTCCCACATGGAGAGATCATCTACTAATAACCAAGGGAGTGAGCATCTGATTGAATTCTGCTCCCCATTTTCTCATCTGAGATGGTGGGAAGAAGAAACAGCAACCATACTGAAGAATCAATGTAGACAAACCTAAAGAGTGTAAGTGGCCACAGGTGTACCAGGTACATCTGATAATCATGAACCTCCAGAGAATGTTAATAAACTCCTGCCTTCCTGCTAGTAAGAAGCTACTTCATAATTCAAATGCTTTGCACCTCCCTATTTCTTTTTTCTATTATAGTCTCATACTGATTTTACTTCAGTCTAACGACTGAGTTGTTTATCATATATGAACTGTAAGAGCATGTAGTTGCTCCACAGCTCTGAAATTTTATATTCCTAAAAGTAAGTCATGAGGATGAAGAAGATTAGTAGATCTTTAGATCTTTCCCAATTATTCTGTGTTATGGAATAATTAAGAAAGACAAGTGCAATGTTTACCTAAAAATAGTGTTTTTCTGAATAATTTGAATCAAAATGGGAGAATTGGGTGCTTGTTCCATTTATTTCATGAACAACATGCTTCTAGAATCCGAACTGAAAGAACTTTATTATGATGAGCAAAGCCAAAGATTGTGAGATTTTTATAGGACAGGCTGTCCCAAATCAGCCTTTATTGTTTCATGAAGTACTCATAAAACAGTCCTAATTAATCCTACACTTGAATTGCTTGAACTAGACTGGCAATTATATTTTCACACTTCCACATTATATCTTAGATTACTTATCTTATGCAATATGAAACAAGCACCAAACTTTGATGTTATTTGATCACCTAGACTCCCATTATATATCAATAAGATCCCCATAAAGTTTTGATAATATATAGTGGCAAAAATTCAGAAAATCCAAGAAAATCCTTTTTCACAGAACTGAACTTTCTTATCTAACTTAACTGAGAAATCATTGTTTGGAAGGAATGGCAAATTGTGCAGAAGGTGGGTGAGCTACGATATTTTGGGTATAGGAAAAAATATTGTCTTTATAGGTTAGTTGAATTAAGTTAAACAAATCTGGGTCTAAATCTTTGCATTGCACTGAAGTAAATCTTGAATTAGCTTTCAGTCACAGAATTCTGTAGACCTTCTGCAGTGATAAAAGAATCAAGAATCACCTATAACCGACTTGACACTATCCATTTTTATTTAAACATTTAAAAAGTTGATTGAGTTGCTCAATCAACTCAAACAACAAGAATTTGATCTGCGTGGGCATTGACTTTTCTTCCAGTGGCATCGTTATACAAGAGGACTGAATATAAACTGGAATTTAGGACAACTGCCCATCCCAAAGAAAGAGGTTAGTAGCAAAATTAATCTGCCTCCATAGC